GGCATTTTCAGCCCTGTTAGTTTTTGACTATAAACCAGGACACCCTTGAAGTGAAGTGTACATTGTGTGTGGAACTTTTAGTGAATCTCATGTGTACCAGCCTGCCAGTTGTTTGCTGCACTATGAAAAAACGCAGTGGAGGGTTAACCCCACTTTCTCACCCTTTTATTTTTAACTTCTTATGCTAGACAGTCAATTTTAATCAAGGGTGAATAATGATGTACGTTTGCTGCTCTGTGGGACAGAGACAAAGCACAATGACATCAAACTGTCTTAATGCATTTGGGGTTTCAATACCCTTGTGTGGTTGCAATGTAATTAAACTGGCTGTCCAAAAATTTTTATTTTGAGGATACAAAGATATTGAACATTGCAATGCAATTTATTCACTCTAATGGATAGAATTGATCTCCTCTGCCAGAGTTGCCTAAGGATTTGATCCAGGTACGCAACATGTCTTGACTTACTCTCTAGAAAGGGTGAATGGAAAGAATAGTTGTTGTTTTTTTAGCATTATTATGGCTAAAATAATAAGGGTAATGGTTTTGGCCATATTTAATATCACAATTATTAATCCAGCTAAGGGAATGAAATTGTTTTTTAATTTAGAACATAATACTAGAGCTGAAATGACAGAAATCAACAGAACATTTTGATAATCTTTTACCTGTTCCTGTAATCTATTGCCAAAAACATGTAATAGTAAACTGAGTATCTTCATAAATAAATAATCTGCATATTTCTTAATGAAAGTAATCATTAGTTGCAGCACTTAAAAATACAAAGGTTTAGCCCTCCATACGTATGCTGTTACACTATAAGTGAAAGTGTAAAAATAATCTTTCCGGCAGCCAGTGGTCAATCGGAGCCTGTGATTGGTCTGACAGCTGACCTGTGAACAGGGAGTGCTTGATCTGCTGCACCAGAGCAGGCGCTTAAATGGCAAACTGTCAATAACCATATCCAACGTTTAACTATTTGCGGAAGGAAAAGTCATGATCACAAATATTATCAATTGTGCAGGAATATACCATTATCTAAACCACTCCGCATAGTTTGCTAAGTGGTCCAGCTCTCAGCTGCTGGCCTCAGTTGATTTTCAGCGTTTGCTTTCCAGACTTCAACCTTGTCACAATGAACACACAATATTTAGGTTGGGTGTGCGTGGCTGTTGCTGTCTGTGTGTTTAAAACCATTCTGAATAGGTTAGTCAGTATGAGCCAGTTTCCTAAGTTTCATAAGTCTTGAGGGATGCCCCCTCCCTGTTTGCTGTGACGTCTCCTTGGCATGTGAAGAAGTGTGTGTGCTGGTGGGTGGGGGACCGGCCAACTCCTCCTGAGCATCTCTTGACAGCAGTCCACTCAAACAGCTCAACCTGGAAATGTCGCCTACAGCAGAAACTGTAGGTGACGAGAAGATAAGTGATCAAGGCCTGCCTTGTCTGTGCTGTGACGTAGGAGATTGTTTCGGCGGTTTTTGATAACAATGCATTGCATCATGGCATAGTAGGGAAGACATGAACTCTGTTGTGATGTGATACTCAGATAAACTGTCTGTCTGTGGTATTCTGAACCTGAGTAA